ACTTAATAAATGAATTTGGCAAAGTAGCAGGATACAAAATTAACATCAAGAAATCAGGCATTCTTATACACCAATGATGAACTCACAGAAAGAGAAACTGAAAAAACAATCCCATTTACCATTGTGGCAAAAAAATTAAGATACCTAGGAATAAACTTAACTAAAGAAGTAAAGGACCTATTTGCAGAAAACTACAGGTCATTGAAAAAAGAAATAGAGGCAGATATAAAAATGTGGAAGCACATACCCTGTTCATGGATTGGAAGAATTAACATAATTAAAATGTCCATATTACCCAAAGCAATTTATAGATTCAATGAAATTCCCATCAAAATACCAATGACATATTTCACAGAACTAGAACAAATACTTCAAAAGTTCATATGGAACCAAAAAAACCCCAAATAACCACAGCAATCTTGAAAAAGCAGGACAAAGTAGGTGGGATCACAATACCAGATATCAGGTTATACTACAAAGCGACTATAATCAAAACAACCTGGCCCTAGCCAGTTTGGCTCAGTGGTTGAGCATCGGCCTGCAGACCAGAGAGTCCCGGGTTCGGTTCCTGCTAGGGGCACGTACCACAAAAAAAACAAAACAAAACAAAACAGAAAACAGCCTGGTACTGGCACAAGAACAGGCATATGGACCAGTGGAACAGAAGAGAGAACCCAAAAATGGACCCAAGACATTATGCTCAATTAATATTTGACAAAGGAGGCAAGGGCATACAATGGAGTAAAGACAGCCTCTTTAATAAATGGTGTTGGGAAAATTGGACAGCTACATGCAAAAAAAATAGACCATCAACTTACACCATACACAAAAATAAACTCAAAATGGATAAAAGACTTAAATGTGACCCGTGAATCCATAAAATTCTAGAAGAAAATGTAGGCAACAAAATTTCGGACATCATACGCAGCAGAATTTTCACTGATACATCACCTAAGGCAACAGAAACAAAGGAAAAAATGAACACATGGGACTACATCAAACTCAAAGCTTTTGCAGAGCAAAAGAAACAACCAACAAAATGGAAAGGCAACCCACTGTGTGGGAGAGCATCACTGCCAATGATACATCAGATAAGGGGTTAATTTCCGAAATATATAGAGTACTCATACAACTCAACTAAAGGAAGACAAAGAACCTGATTAAAACATGGGCAGAGGAGCTGAATAGACACCTCTCCAAGCAGGACATACAAAAGGCCAAGAGACATATGAAGAAATGCTCAACATCACTCATCTTCAGAGAGATGCAAATTAAAACAACAATGAGGTATCACCTCACACCTGTCAGAATGGCCGCCATCAACAAATTATCAAACAAGTGTTGGCAAAGGTGAGGAGAAAAGGGGGACTCTAGTATACTGCTGGTGGGAATGCAGACTGGTGCAGCCACTATGGAAAACAATATAGTGTTACCTCAAAAAATTAAAAATTGAACTGCCATTTGACCCAGTGATCCCACTTCTAGGAATATACTCTAAGAGCCTGAAACACCAATCAGAAAGAATATATGTACCCCTATGTTCATAGCAGCACTATTTCCAATAGCCAAGATCTGGAAACAGCCCAAGTGTCCATCAGTAGAAGAATGGATAAAAAAGCTGTGGTACATATATACAATAGAGTACTATGCAGCTGTAAGAAAGAAAGATCTCTTATCCTTTGAGATGACATGGAGGGGCCTGGAAAGTATTATCCTAAGCAAAACAAGCCAAGCAGAAAACAACAAATGCTACATGATCTCACTTATTTGTGGAATATAATGAACATAACAGTCTGAGGAAAAGGGTAGACCCAGAGACGTGAAAGTAGGGTACAGAATGACAACCCTCAGAAGAGGGGGAGGTGGGGGTGGGAAGAGATAAACCACAGAACTTATATGCATGTACGCATAACCAATGGACATGGACAACAAAGCCGGCGACGGGGTGGGGGGGATGGGGAGGAGGGTGTCAATGGGGTAAAAAAGGAGAAACATCTGTAACAAAAATTTTAAAAAAAGAAAAAAGGCAAATAAAAAAAAAAGTGGGGAATCCCTTTCTGAATTAACCAGTAGAGACCAGGTCTGCAGGATAAGCAGTTTCCCAAAAACTCACCTGGAAGAACAGCCTCACTCCCTGATTCTCAGGACAGCACTATCAGTGTCTCTTTAAGATCACTCAGTCCTAAAAGAAGTGTTTTTCAGTTTCAAGTAAACATGGAAGAGTGCACCCTCTCTTTTCTAGGGAGATATCTATATCTATATATATTTACATATATATAGATATAGATATATAGATTTTTTAAAGTTTTTGACAGGGAGACTTTCCCACTCCTAGTTATTACCTTTCTTAATAAGAGAGCATATTACCTGACCCAGAGCAACATTGCTGGGATCTGAATCATGGTTCTCTCTTACATGCTGGTTGTTATTGTTAACACACATATAAAATCGCACCAGGGTGAGCTACCCAGAACAAACCACCAGCCCATAAAAAGGCTAAATTCATAACTTTGTTTTTGAGACCCTCTTAAGCTCCCACACAGCCATAAACACTCAACAACAGGAAAATCCACATAATGAGGGTCCAGGTGTCATAACCCCCAAGAGTGGAACAAGATAGGCTTTAGGAACTCTCGCATCATCTAAGATTCTAGTTGCTGAGGAGAGCCTTAATAATCATGTTCATTTCCCATGAGAGTACCTCCTGAAAAATGGACCCCAGAAAAGATTTTCACCATTCATATTCAGGGGTAATAATAAAACATTTTGGCCACTGTTCCTTCATGGATTCTACAATGCACTTAATTCTATCCTCATTTCGGGCTTTCTGAAATGTTTCCTCTTCTCTGTTAACATGTAGTGACCCTAATTAGGCACTGGCAGAAACAGATCAGGAAGCGAGCACATGTTCAGAATAATAATTGTATTATTAAAAATAATAATACATAATAAATGCCTTCAGTGATTCTCAAAGATCCAAAAACCAGGTAAGTATGACCTCCATTTCCCCTTTCCAGATATCCATTGCAAGTGCCATTTTGGCAATGGGTCATGGCAGCTTTACAACCATAAAATCAACTCAACATGTAAAAAGTTTCATAGGACCTGGCCAGTTTTGCTCAGTGGTTAGAGCATCAGACCATGGACCAATGAGTCATGGGTTTGATTCTGGTCAAGGGCACGTACCTCGGCTGCGGTCTGTCCCCAGCCCTGGTCGAGTCGTGCAGGAGGAAACAAGTTGATGTGTCTCTCACATCAATGTTTCTCTCTCTCCCTGTCTCCCACTCTATCTGATGACAAATGTAAAAAAAAAAAATCCTCTAGTGAGGATTAAAAAAAAAAGTTTCATAGGAAATATACATCCAAGAAGCTCTAAAGGTAAAATGAACAATTCTATCCAAGGGGGTGGGGGGAACTAGAGTGATGCCTTTTCATCTAAACTGCTTGCTCCCACCTAAAACAACTCTAAGAATCCAAAACTGCAAAAACAGCTCCCACCAAGCAGTCTGCCAAAGACAGCTTCACCCCATCTTCCTTTCTGCCCTCCTTAGGTAGGCCAGCCTATGTCCTACCCCAACCAAATCCTGTTCTTCAGTTGAACGCATTTCCCCTGAGTGAAGACCATCTTTCTTCTTGGGCAGTATCCTCCTGAAGAACAAGACCCACTCTGTTCTTTACTGTATTTTCCTGGTGTGCTAACTGCATCCTCTAGGACAGTTTTAAATTAGTAAGAACTCAGGTTAAGGAAGGCAAGAGGGCAAACAGGAGACCAATATGTTTCAAACGTTTCTGTTACACAGAGAAAGAAATATTTTTTTAACATCTCTTAATACATCACACATGAGTGTATACCTGAACCAAAATGACCCTTCCCAAGGACAATGCACTCTGATAGCTTCTATTTCTTTCTTTCTTTGTCTTTTTTCTCAATGATGGCCGTGACCCTCTAAACTGATCTCCAACTAATCAATGGGACTCAGTGTGAACTCACAGTCTGTACTCAGTTTGAACTGCAATAGATCAAACCTGATAGCCTCATTCCACAAGCTAGTAATGAACCCTTTAAAAAGCCAGCAGCCCACGGAGATACTGACATATCACAAGAACCAGACACACCCAGGTAGGCAGTGCCCTTCTCCTGTCCAGCAACCCAGGTTTAAGCATCTCCCAACCTCCCAGCTTTTCCCAATACCCAAAATGACTCTGTCATAGGCCCTTTTGTTAATCTCTGTATAAAATCAGTCTATATGCCATCTCTTAGGGTGGCAAAGTTCATTTACTGCCCGCTGTGAAAAGTAATACTTCCTTTTTTGACCCCAAATCAAGATTAAAGGGAAGAGAACCTTCCGGGAACCCAAAATTAAATGAACAAGTTGGTGCTCTGTACCTATTTGTGTGGGTGACATACTCCTATACACGTGTATGCGCGCGCGCGCACACACACACACACCCATCTATCCGGTCTTAATCCCGGGCAGATACAGCCTCTGGTGAAATGAGAAACCAGGGAACCCCCTGGAGCCGGGGAAGCACTCAACCGCCTGACAGAGAAAGCAGTGGACTCACTCTCCACACCACAAAAGCGCCTGACAAACAAGTCACAAAGTCATCTCCGGATCCAAACTGGGAAGGGGAGAGAGGACGAGAGACGCAGACAAACTCGAGGAGCTGCGCTGGAGTGACCGGCGGAGGACACCTCCCGAAGGCCTGACCGCAGCCCGCCCCACCCAGGCCGGCCCCAAGTCCCTGGGAAGGCAGGTGAGCGCCGGCCGGGGACGCGGGGCGCAGAGGTCACCCGAGCCCCGCCGCTCCTCGGGGTGGGAGGGAGGAGGATCCGGGTTAGGGGCCTCCCCTCCCACAGTCCCTGCGCCCTAAGGGGCCCACTATCAGCCCTCTCCGGCCTTTCCTCACCCACCCGGGGAAGTGCGCCTCCCCTACTGCAGGCAAGAAAAGCAGAGGGGAAGAGTTAGGAGCAGGACGCCCCCGCCCCCGCTCCATACCGCTCTTGCCGCCCGGGAATATCCCGCCGCGGGCCCCACCGGCCAAGCGCCGCCTCCCCTTGCACCCCACGCGGCCTCTCTCCCCGCGCCTGCGCGCCGGGCTCGGCCGGGAGGGCCGTGATCTGAGAGTGCGCGCGCGCCGTGCGTGTGCTGGCGTAGGGGGTGAGACTTGCATGGCCCCGCCCCTCCCTTCCCCTCCCTCCTCCCGCTCACCCTCCCCCGACACTGCCGCGGCCGCCGCAGGAGCCCGGAGCTCGAGCCGCCCAGCGACTCCCCCTCCCCCTCCCCCAGCCCCGCCCCGCCCCAACCCGGGGCTCCAAGCCGGAGCCGAGTCTGCGCCTGGGGGTGAGTACGCGACCCTTCCTCAGCCCCCCCCCTCTTCTTTGAGGATCCCACCACCACCCAAAGAAAAACCCCAGACTCAGCTGCGCGTCCCCTCCCTTCTACCTCCTGCGGGACTGAGAGGTGCCCGGGCCCGCGGGACCTACTGGTGCCGCGCGTTGCCCCCAACCCCACACCATCTTGAGCCAAATGTTAGTCCTCCGACCCCTGCCAGCGGTCCAGATGTGCACCACCTTCTGTCCCCACCCCTCCGGAGATCCCGAGGGGTGGGACCCCCGCCACCCTAGAGCCACTCCTCGTCCTCCTGCCCGGTCCAGGTGCGCCTTCCCTCCGCGGCCCTCCAGGGTTCCAGCTGCGCCCGGTCAACCCACCGCCGCTGTGGGGAACCTGCCGCCCCCGCCCCGAGTTTTGGATTCCAGGGTCGCCAAGTCTGATGGCCTCGGTTTCTTTTATATTTTCTCCTGCTCTCGGGGCCGAGTACCTCCGAAGCTGATCCCGGGGCAGGGGTTCGAGCTCGGGGAAGGGCAGGTTTCGCGGGTGCTGGCACGAGGCCGGCCGCTGCCCCCAGCCGGTCTAGGGACCGGTCGGCAGGCTGGGGAGGCGGCTAGCCCCAGGAGCGTGTCCTCTCCTTGCGCCCCACACACAGTGCAGTTCATTCATGAGCCGCCCGGGCCTGCGTTGGAGGATACGGTGGGGAAAGGATTTCGCGCGGAACTGGGAGTGGGGCAAAGGCCCAGTTGGGGGGAGGGGGCGCGCTTTGTCCCTCCTGGCCTTCTTGCCCACCTAGGGAGGACGGTCTCAAAGCTTTGGCGCCTTGTGTCCCAGAAGAGAAGGACGCTTGGGAAGTGGAAAGGAGAGGTCAGAGGGGCCGACTGCCCTTGGGGCTCTGTGCTGCCACCTGCCTGGGTCCCCTGGGCGGAGGTCTGGCTGCTGAGCACTACACTTCCCGGGGGGAGAAGGGGGGGGCTGGGGTTCTCTGCCCAATACCACAATCTAGCCTCACCCTAGGTCTGCAGCAGCCTAGGAAGAATGAGGCTGTGCCCAGCCTCTCCTCCTGAGGAGGGCCCCCAGCCCTGCCTCCCAGGCACTTGTGAGTAGGGGAGTGGGAGTGTCGTCAAGGCTTCCAGTGGTGGTGTGCTGGCAGCGTGACTGTCCTCCATGGCACCAGAGGGTCCAAGCCCTGGCATGCCCCAGGTGGCACATGCTGAGGCCTGCTGTTGGCTCACCCAACTCAGTCTTGGCCCATGGGTGGGTGGGTGGGGATGTGGCAAGGCAAAAGGCAGGTGGTGGATAGGTAAGAGCCCCCTTTTGGACATCCTACAAGTTCCCTCCAATTATAACAGTCTTGGAGACCTCAGTTGAAATTCCAGCTCTGCTAATGTTTAGCTGTGTGACCTTGACAAGTTACCTAACTTGTCTGAACCTCAGTTTCAATTAAAAAGTTTACTATCACTTCCTTTCAAGATTTATCATGGGGATCAAAGTAGACAACACAGGTAGAACCTGGCACTCTGCCTGGTAGTTGATCAATAATGGGTTCTCTTCTCTGAACTTCTGACCCATTCTAGCATAGCATCATCCTTCTGGGCTCCCACCTCCCAGCCTGCTACTGATGGTGCAGGTATGATTGAAGAGTTTGGGGACATCCCCTGCCTCTCAGTGGCAGAGACCTGAATGCAGTATAAGCCCTTAGGTTGAAACAAGAAACCCACCCTGACTGAGGGAGGGGCTTTATCATACTAAATTATATTTTCTTTTATTTTGATTTTTAACAGTTTTTCTTCATACCTTATTAATAACAATAGCTAATTTTTTAGAACCCATTATGTACCTTGAACTGTATTAAGAGCTCTACATAAGTCCTCTTGTTTAATCCTCAAAACAACCACATGGCTGAATTATTATCCCAATTTACAAATAAAGGAACTGAGGCCCAGCATGGTGAAGTAATTTGCCCAGGTCAAGCCATATCTGTCTCATCCTAGGGGCTGTGCTCTTACCCACCATGCTCTGTGACTTATTCGCTACACCTGTCTCAGAACCTAAAATCAGAAACCCAAGGCCTGAATGGAGGTTCTGGGAGCTACAAGCAAGAGGGAAGGCAAACAGGTAGAAAATAGGGTGTGGCATTTCTCCAGAGTGGTAGCTGGTAGCCCACACCTCCCTGGTGGAAGTGACTCCTCTGTTGGCTCAGGCAGCAAAGTGCAGTGGTTAGGAGCATAGACTTCAACCAGGTTGGGTAGGTTCATATCTGGATGTACCACAGACTGGCAGTGTGACACTGGGCAAGTTATGTACCCTCTCTGTACCTCACAGTCCTAGAGTTGTGATGCAGAGTAAATGAGTTAATATTTGTAAAGCACTTAGAACAGTGCCTGGCACAGAACAAGAGTTAAAGAAGTACTTGATAAATGCATTCTTTTCCTACTAGCTTTATCTTCATTTGTGGATACATTTTTGCCCATCCCTCTGAGGTTGGTAGGAGCAGAGAGAGGATATTAATTCTGTTACAGATTAGAAGACTGGAACCCAGGTTACATAGTAACAGAGCTAGCCTCCATCTTCATATCCTTCCCTTAGACCACATTGCCTGCCTACGATCCCAAGCGCTAAATTAAATCTTCCGAAGTAATTGTAAGAAAAAACTTGTAACTTATAGCTCCCTAACCCCTACCATGCACACACTTCTTAATGGTAAAATAACAACCTTCATTCAGTTAGCTAGAAATAAAATTTTCCATCATTCTCTCTATACACCTCCAGCTAAAAAAGCCTCTGTCAGGCAAGAGAAATTCTGGAATACAGCTGGCTCTGGCAACCCCATGCAGTGGAGGAACTGCCCCCCTCCCCTACTACCTACCCCCCCCCAATTCTGCCTCATTATCTTCCCTCTCAGCTGCTCTCAGTGAGGGAACAGCTGCCCTTGGTGAAACTCAGCCCAGCAACCCCACCCCCACAATTAAGAGCTTGGAGTAACCCGGTCAGCAAGCAGAGCCACCAGCCCTGGCTCCACCCTTGACCTGCCCTGTGACCACCTTTGAGTTGCTTCTCCTCCCTGGGTCCCTGAAAATGGGCATAGTGATCTGACCAAGCCTGCCCTGCTTTCCTCACAGTGTAGGTGGGAAGAGCAGTGTGATTTTGGAGGGAAGGTGCTTTGTGACTGTAAAAAGGGAACCCCAGATGGACATGGTGATTTCAGTTACCAAGCATCTACTGGACTCTCCTCACTCACCCTACTGGGTTCCCTTAATATGGAAGCTCCCAGAATGTGCCACACCATCTTTGCAAGTAGACAGGTTTGGGGAGGGGGTGCTCCAGGGATTTGTACCCATTACATTCTTGGAGTTGGGGAGAGAAACAGGCAAGGAGTGGGAATGGGCTATCTTGATTTCTGGAGTGCATTGGACTTGGAGGTTAAGGGGGACTAATGCATATGCCCCTCAACTACCACAGACCCAAGATACCTATACCTACCTTTAACGTCTCCTGGGACCCCAGAGTTCTGAGCACTTTGTGTTTACACACCCGGGCTCCCAGACAAACCCACATACACACCCCCACTTGAGACCAACACTTACTTTTCTGTGGACTGCCATGCAGTCACCTAGCTCCCCACCACCACCACCACACACGCGCACACACACACAGATAACACACATCAATGTGCATTTACAAACCTAAATACATGCCCACCCTGCACCAGTGTTCTCTAGCCAGAGGACATTCAATGAGCTATACGAAGCTCCGTGGCCTGCAGAGTCTGATTCTAGGCACAGGAGAAAAGTACCGTGGTGGCCTGAAGTGTTCTAGCTTTAGAAAGAAGCTGAACTAGGTTTGCATCCCAGGACCATCATTTTTATTCGTAGTGTGACTTTGGAGTTACTTAACCTTTTTGAGACCCCTGTGCCCTCATCTTAAAATGACAATGACATCTAACTCGGGAGTGTCAAAGATTAAATTAAATCATGTATATATTCTTGAAACAGTGGGCACTTGATAAATGGCACCTTCTACAATTACTAAACAGAGGGTTGTTTGTTGTTGTTTTGTTTTTAAGACAAGTTAGACTGGAAAGGAAGAGGGAGGCATTACACACAGGGCAGTTACTACCTTTGCCTTCCTAACGCTTTTCAGAGACTCCCTGGGACCAAGTGGAACACAAACAACCCCAGCTTCCCCGGTGATCTAAGAGCTGGTGCCCCTTGCCCTGCAGTTGAAGTGTAGGGGTATAGGGGGCAGGGATTGGTGAGCTGGAAAAACTCTGAGTCATCCCAGGGGGTTGGGGGGCACTTGCTCCCAGAGTTGCAGTCATCGATTCTGGGTTTGTTGTTCTCTTTGTCTGCTTTCCTTTCTTCCCTGGAGACACTCCCCCTCCAAAGGCAGAACTTTAGTGTTGTCAGCAGAAGGGGCCCCCAGGGGCCCTCCAGTAAAATGGGGGTGGGGCAGTGATGCCATGGCCACACTTCTCTGCCCTGGGAACTCCCCAGAGCCCTGCTTCACCCAGTCCCCAGGCACTTCCAGAACCTAGGCATCTGGGCTGCCTGTCCCTTCCGTCCTCCTCCGCACCCCCGTCTACCTGGACCCTTGGACTACCCAGGGCTGAACAGCCCGGCAGTGGCAGGGAACCAGACTGGAGGGCTGTACCCTGGCCACAGGGGTTTGGGCAAGCTAAGAGGCCCCCGCCCACTCTCTCTTCCTTTGCCAATGGAAAAGCTTGCTGGAGGTACGGCATTCCCAGCCTGCCCTGCTCCTGCCTCTG